CTGAATTATTTTGATTACTGTTCAGTTTCTTATAATGCTGCTTCGTTTTTACAACTTTTCAGATACTTTTCATGAGGTGAAGAGCAAACGAGACAAGAAGAAAGAGGTTTGTGTATAGGATTGTTTAATCTTAATGCCTAATTGTTTCAGATGATGGATTTCATTTTTTGTCTTATTCTCACTTGTTTTGTTTGTTTGGCTAGACCAAAGACACTGCAGACTCGTGGACGCGTACCAGTGTCCCAAATCGTGGAGGTAGAAGTGGTAACGATAGTTACAATACCGCTCGAGGTGGCGGAAACAGATTTAACTCGAATGGTAATAAGATGCAATGTTGCTAGAGAGAGTTTGTGTTTTACTTGTGTTAGTTTGGTTTGGTGATTTTATTAAGAAATGTCTAAACTTGTTGATGGATTTTGGTTCAGAGACGGGCAGTGGTCAAGGTGTAGCTGCAAACAGAAGAGAAAATGGAACGCGTAATCATTGGGCTGGCTCTTCTTTAGCATCTGGTGTCCTCGGTCGCCAACCTCCATCGAACAGGTTATTCTCTTTACGTGATCTTTTTGGTATCTTGTTTTGTTAAAATGTCATTATTTTGTGTTAGCTTAGAGTTCTCCTTTGCTTTTGCAGTGATCCTATAAGTGCGGAAGTTAAGAAAGCACCAACGGTACCGAGTGAAGCAGTTACTTCGTCTTCACTGCCTTCTCCTGCGTATCAATCCGCTTGGGTAGCTGCCAACCCCGGGCAGAGAACTATGGCTGATATTGTGAAAATGGGTAGGCCTCTCCATCAGAAGAACGTCGCAGCGCCTCGTTCATCAGAGACTCAAGAGAGTGGAAGCAAAGCCCCTTTGAAGGATGAATGGCCTTCGATTGAGAAGCAAGATGTTTCTTCTCCATCATCCACTGGCTTGAACCCATCTGCTGAATCTAATATGTCCTCTCAACATTTGGATGAGACTCATTTGGACAACGACCACCCGGAGACAAAGACAAACCCAATTGGATCTTCTCTTGATGCACACCAGGTTCCACCTGCTTCAGTATCCAGCAGACAATTGGTCGACGATGATTCTAAAGACTCCTCGATAGATGACGATGGAAACGATAAAGCGGAGAGACATTCTTACGATGACAATGGAGGTGAGATTTCAATTCTCTGTGTGAGCCTAGTTTTTCGCTCTCTTTTCCTCTTTGTCTGTGTTTTATAAAGTCTGTTTGCTTTTTCTGCTATTTTCAGCTGAAGATGTTTCTGCATCTGTCGCCACTGGTTTTCAGCAACTTACTATAGACAACGAAGAAGACCATGAAGCATTACCGAAAGAAGACAAACCTGTAGTGATAATCCCGGGTCACCTGCAAGTCCATACCTCGGAATGCTCGCACTTGATGTTCGGTAGTTTTGGCTCCGGGATAGGAACTGGCCAAGCTAGTGGCTTGAATGATAACTTGGAGGAAACACCAGAAGCAGAGGAATCATACAGACACCCCGACACTGACTACTATGGAGAGGAAGAAGAGCAACTCAGGAATGCTGCTACTGATGAACAAACATTTCATCAAATCGATTCAACTGCCCGGAATTACCATTCAGCCACGGATTCTGAGACGGAACCGGCGCATCATGAACCTCCTCAAGAAGATCATCCGTACAAATTTTCATCTTCTGCAGATTACGGATTTGAAAACAGCCAACAGTTGAATCCTCCATCAGAATTAAATCCCCAACTGCAGAATCTCGATACCTTCCCCAACGTAATGGTAAGAAAACCACTATCCTCCCTCAAAATTAATCACACAATAGAAAGAATCACGAAAAAGATTTTAACCAACTCTGTCTTTTTTCTTAATGTTCAGCAGCAAGGATATACAAATTCGTTACCCAACACTCTGTTACCATCAGGCATTCAAGATGCAAGAGAACCTGATCTCCACTACTCGCCTTTCCCAACAAAATACAACACTACTACTCCATCTTCACTTAGCGGTCCAGCAATCTCCATGGCCGAGGTAGTAAATTACCTTTTTCTTTTCCATAGAAACCTATTTCATGCCTTCCTCTAATACCATTTACTTACACATTTTTCTTTTCCAGGCACTAAGAGCTGCGAATATTTCTCCTCAAAACGCAATGCCCGGTACAGGACAACAACAAGCAGCAGCTCTTGCTCAACACCTTGCCTTAAACCCATACTCTCATCAGCCTGGAATGACTTTAGGGCCTTATGGTAATATGATAAGCTATCCGTTCATGCCACAGAGTTACAACCCTTACATGCCTTCAGCTTTTCAACAAGCGTTTCCCGCTGGTAACCATCAGTCTATAGCTGCTATGCTTCCGCAATACAAAACTCAAGCAACCGCACCTCCTGTTCCTCCTCCCTCTGCCTACGGGTTTGGTGGTGGCGCTGCCTCGAGTAACAACTACCCTTTGAATCCCACTAGCGCTGGAAACTCCTACGAAGATGTCTTGAGCTCACAGTTTAAGGAAAGCAATCACTTGGCATCATCACTTCAGCAGCAGGTATAAAATTCGTCTCATATTTTAATCTTGTTGTGTTGGTGCTAGTATTTGAAATTTTGGTTCTGTTTGGTTTCCTCGGGTTAGTCATCTGGAGGATTTATACTGAAGTAGAACTGAATTTGTGTTTGGTCGGTTGAGAGGTTTCTGGTTCGTTTC